AAAAAAAAAGGTTAAGTCATAACTCATAAGTGAGACAACGGTCACAAGTCACACCATTAGCGCCTTCAAACGGACCTCTTGACGCCGTCACGCGCCACGTCGCCCCACTCTTGAAATTCAAACGCCTCTCCTTAACGGCCATATCACTTTTTAACCCTCCACCTCTCTATGCTTTTATTTATTTTTTAATCCACATTCTCACACACACACACACACCTGACAGTACCTATTCACTCAGCGCCAGTTTGCACCCACATTCTCCGACTGCATTTTCCGATCGCCGGCCGGCCGTCTTCAATGTAAGCATCGGTTCGTGTATACGCACAGCGGCACAGCTGATTTATTTTTTCTCCCTTTTTTCCACGAGCTTCGATCTTCTTCAGGTTGTTTGGTCATTATGTTAAAATGGATCAGCCGTCGTTTTCGATTCAGCTCCTCATTGCTTCTCTCTCTCTCTCTCTCTCTCTCTCTCTCTATCTCTTGATATCTCTCTCTGTCTCTGTGTGTGTGCGTGTGTGTGTGTTTTATTTATTTTTTCACTCATCAGATAATGAATTAAGTTTCGGCATTTTGTGCGGGTTTTTCCAGTGGATGCAGATTTGTAGTTTGATTTTTTGTGGATTCGAATCAGATATTCTTCTGTTGACATCGGTTGACTCGGTTGAGATGAATTTGTTTTGCAGAGCAGTAAATAAGGAGAAAGGTTGATTGATTTATAAGCAGTTATTAAGCTGAAGCTTTTAGATTTGGAGGGTGTAAACGAGAGCTAAACACAAAAAGGATGGAGACTTCTTCGAGAAGAGGTGGTGCAATGGTGCCAATATCGCCATCGCAAACACCTCGGTCCAGCGATAAGGTGGCCAGAGATCTGCGATCGGGGGAAGGCAACTTCAGTGGGAAGCATGATAAGGATAATAAAGGTGTTAATGTGCAGGTCATTGTTAGATGCAGGTAGATTTATTTACTTTTGTTTATTACTTTTTAGTCTATGATTTCAAATGTTTCGAGTTTTAGTTATGTGCATTTTTTTATTTATAATTTTTTCATTTAGGCCGTTGAGCGAGGATGAGGCAAGATTGCGAACCCCTGTGGTGATCTCTTGCAATGAGAGCAGAAGAGAAGTTTGTGCTGTCCAGAATATTGCAAATAAGCAGATTGATAGAACTTTTCTCTTTGACAAGGTATGCATACATATGCTGATGAAATTGTGGTAGTAGAGCTATATTTAGCCAGGAACTGAAAAGGGTTCAACTAGATAAAAATAGGATATGTGGTCCTGGCTACTGTATCCATAATCATTATGGATTCAGCATTCTGCGTGTTTTCATTTTAATCAAAGTTTCGTACATTTTGCTCTTCCACATGAGTGTGGTGGCTGCTTGTCATTTTTATTTATGTTTGTGGAAGTTCAGAGATGTGTTTTTTTATAGATAGAGATTAACGTTGAGCGTATGTGTTCAGGTTTTCGGGCCATCATCTCAGCAGAAGGATTTATATGATCAAGCCATCTGCCCAATAGTGTTTGAAGTCCTAGAAGGCTATAATTGCACCATCTTTGCCTATGGGCAAACAGGAACCGGAAAAACTTACACAATGGAGGGTGGAGCAAGAAAAAAGGTCCAATCTCTGCTGAAAATTTTGAGCATCGCCTCTGTACTATAAAGACAGTAACATCTATTTTTGTTACCTGACCTTTAGTATCCCTTTTCTTCTTTTAGAATGGTGAATTTCCTAGTGAGGCGGGTGTCATTCCAAGAGCTGTTAGGCAAATTTTTGACATCTTGGAGGCTCAGAGTGCTGAGTATAGCATGAAGGTGACATTCTTAGAGCTATACAATGAGGAAATATCTGATCTTCTGGCTCCTGAAGAATGTACAAAATTCATCGAAGACAAGTCAAAGAAACCAATAGCACTGATGGAGGATGGCAAAGGTGGAGTCTTTGTAAGGGGACTGGAAGAAGAGATAGTGACTACTGCAAATGAAATATATAAAATCCTAGAGAAGGGTTCTGCTAAAAGGAGAACAGCGGAGACCCTCCTTAACAAACAGAGCAGTCGTTCTCACTCAATTTTCTCCATCACGATTCACATTAAGGAGTGTACTCCGGAAGGAGAGGAAATGATCAAAATCGGGAAGCTGAATCTTGTTGACCTTGCTGGCTCGGAGAATATTTCACGATCAGGTGCCAGAGAGGTGAGAAGTTCCTGATTTTGTTCTTTCTTTATTAGCTATGAGTCTCCTTCCCGGTGAAAGTAATGGAAATATGGAATGGTGTATAATGCTGAATTGTATACAACATATTGAGGAAATAATTTTTGAAAGGATATTCTCTGATAAAGTTCCTCATAAAAAAATTGTGGTGCTTACAAAGTCTTTGCTATTCTCTCTCTTTTTTTTTTTTTTCTCTTTCAGGGTAGAGCGAGGGAAGCAGGTGAGATTAACAAGAGCTTGCTGACACTTGGTCGAACTATAAATGCTTTGGTTGAGCATTCTGGTCATGTGCCTTACAGGTATATGTATCTCCATAACACTGCTATGTACTACTGTAGCAGACATATAACAGATGACTAAGAAAATCCTGACCTCTCAGGGACAGCAAATTGACGAGGTTGCTAAGAGATTCACTAGGAGGAAAAACAAAGACCTGTATCATTGCTACGATATCACCTTCAATCCATTGCTTGGAAGAGACTCTCAGCACTCTGGATTATGCTCACCGTGCCAAAAACATAAAGAACAAGCCAGAGGTTAGTGGCTTTTGTATAATTTGAAACATTCTCATGATTAACCCTGCTATGCTTACAAGTCTACCAGATCATCTGTACAAGTTTTTATTTACTAATTGTTTATTATTCTTACAGATCAATCAGAAGATGATGAAATCTGCAGTAATCAAGGATTTATATTTAGAAATTGATCGATTAAAGCAAGGTTGTTAGCACCACCCTCTCTCTCTCTCTCTCTCTCTCTCTCTCTCTCTCTCTCTCTCTCGTGTGTGTGTGAGTGCATGTGTGTTTGTGTGGCAAATATAGTTTCTGTCATTGAATAGTTAAAAGAAGATGTGTATAGATATTGTGTCGTTGCCTTATGCCAACAATATGTTGTTAGAGGTTTATGCTGCAAGAGAGAAAAATGGGATCTATATACCAAAAGATCGTTATCTCCAAGACGAGGCAGAGAAAAAGGTCTGGTTTTTTAAGTTTATTGATTTGCAGCAGTACTTCAAGAAACTTAGAGGGATAACCAGCTGATTTACATGTTTCTCATTTACAACTGTCCAGGCCATGTCGGAGAAGATAGAGCGAATGGAACTTGATTTTGATTCCAGGGACAAGGTAAATTAAATTCATAATGGATCTTTTAAACCAATGCAGTTATGAATGAGTTCACTGAAATTCGTGCGTCGTGAGCAGCAATTAGCAGAGCTCCAGAGTCTGTATAATTCTCAGCAGCAACTGAATAGTGAACTAAATGACAAACTTGAAAAGAGTGAGGTAATATTTGATTTCCATGATTGAAGAATTGACAGCTGCGTCCATATTCTTTATTTCTATGAACTAACTAACAAGGCTTTTGGTTGTAACAGAAAAAGCTTCAGGAAACTGAACATACACTGGTTGATCTTGAAGAAAGACATAGGCAGGCAAATGCAACAATAAAGGAAAAGGAGTACTTAATATCCAATCTTCTTAAATCTGGTACTTTACTTGAAGTTAATTTTTTAGAGTTTGTTCTCTGTTTTTGCTTCCATTGCATCCTTTATTTATATGCAACACACTAATAACTTACGCTTTTCAAGTGTGTAAATTTCTACTTCTGGGCTTTATCTTCCTGGCTATTCATATTTCCTAGTTAGCCAGCTATGCCATTATTATAACAAATTGCCATTATTTTTTTCCAAAGTTCTAAGACAGAGACTTCAGATGAAACTTTAGAATAACTTTGAGCACATAATGGACCTCTGAAGTTGCATTAGGAATAAAATATTCTCCTGTTTTTATCTCCTTATTGTATGCGCTTTCTTTACCAGAAAAAGCACTTGTTGAGCGGGCACTTGAGCTTCGTGCAGAACTTGAGCACACAGCAGCTGATGTGACTAATCTCTTCTCCAAGATTGGTTTGCATCCTTAACTCAAACGTAGTTGTGTATTTTCTGATAATCACGGAACAGCTCTACCCTAATACAAAATAGTAATAACATTACAGAACGCAAGGACAAAATAGAAGACGACAACAGAATTCTTATACAAAAATTCCAATCCCAGTTAACTGAGCAGCTTGAAATCTTGCATAAAACTGTGGCATCTTCAACAAGACAACAAGAACTTCAGCTGAAAGAGATGGAAGAGGACATGCATTCATTTGTATCAACAAAGACTCAGGTAGTGTACATCATCCATGCATTAAACACCTGCAGTTGTTATTTGTAAGTGCCATGTCAGAAAACCTTCTCATGCACTTGTAGGCTACTGAAGAGCTTCGAGGTCATCTAGAAAAATTAAAAACCATGTATGGCACTGGTATCAAGGCTTTAGATGACTTAGCAGGAGAACTTGATTGTAACTCTCAGTCAACTTTTGGCCTGCTGAACTCTGAAGTTTCGAAACACTCCTTGGCCATAGAAGAGGTTTGAGTTCTTTGAAATTGTACTGATTTGTTTCTTCTGTTCATCCAAACCTTAATTTTATAATATCACTACATTGTTGGTTGACTTTTGTGCAGCACTTCAAAGCAATTTCCTCAAAGGCCGAATGTTTGCTTTGTGACCTTCAAGATAGTCTTCACAGTCAGGAGAAAAAGTTAACTGCCTATTCAGATCAGCAACGAAAGGTTGAGTTTTGTTATATTTAAAAATGTGGATGTGTTTTGGTGCTTTTTTATTTCCTTCTGTCACTAAGATCAATAATTGATTTGACATTACAATAACCAGGCTCACATGAGATCTGTTGAGACCACAAGATCAATTTCAAAAATTACTGCAAACTTCTTCATGACATTAGAGGGGCATGCCTCAAACTTGGGTCAAATTGTAGAAGAGGCACAGACAGTTAATGACCAGAAATTGTCCGAACTGGAAAAGAAGTTCGAGGTAACTAAAAGTTTTTCCAGATACATACTATTCAGCTGAGATGCGTTTATGGATTATTTTTTATTTTGAGAAATATTTTAATTTACCTGTAGGAGTGTGCTGCCAATGAGGAGAAACAACTACTAGCAAAAGTGGCTGAGCTGCTTGCCTATTCAAATGCCCGGAAGAAAAAACTGGTATGTCATTCAAAAATAATTTACTTTCCTCATTCTGCTCCTCAGTTGCCATCACATTCAAATCTGAATGTCGAATTCCTACAAATCCGATCAAATCTCACTTTCATTTGTCATCTTCTCTTCCTTTATTTGTGTTCGTGCACTAGGTTAAATGTGCAATTGACGGACTTCGGGAAGATGCCGCCAATAGAACCAACAAATTACAGCAAGAGATGTCAACTATGCAAGAAAATACTTGTTCTATCAAATCTGAATGGATAAGTTATACCAAGAGCACTGAATCTCACTATCTTGAGGATACAGCTTCAGTAGAAAGTTCAAAGCAAGGCATGGAAGACATTCTTTACAAATGGTTAGCACCACTTCACTTCACTTCAGTAATAATGTTCTTGCTTACAATATCTATACACTTTTCATATCACAAATTGATACTCCGAATTGGAAATAAAAAATAAATTTATGCAGCTTGGGACAAGCGAAATTAGGTGCAGGACAGTGGAAAAATGCCCAAGAATCCCTCTTGCATCTTGAGAAGAACAATGTTGCTTCAGTCGACAAAATCGTTCGGTGAATATAGCAACTTTTACAGCATTCTTCTTTTTATTAGATATGCATTTTATTAGTTTATTTATTTATTTATTCTTAATTTTTCTACAGGGGAGGGATGGCCACTATTGAAGCCTTACGTGGACGATTCTCATCTGCTGTGAGTTCTGCACTTGCAAATGCAGATACTGGAAGCAAGAATCTGCTCTCGTCCATTGACCGTAAAGATCGTCATTTCTTTTCTTTTCTTTTCTTTCCTTTCAATAATCATTCAAATATGTAAAATTATAGAATATTAACAAAACAAAGCTCCATTTTGTAGGTTCGTTACAACTTGATCACGAGGCATGTGATAATCTCGATTCCATGATCGTTCCATGCTGTGGAGAGTTGAGGGAATTGAATAGTGGCCACCATCACAAGACAGTAGAAATTACCGAAAGTGCCGGAAAATGCCTCCTAGAAGAGTATATGGTAAAGCAAAATACACACATGACACCTTTTTTCCACATTTTAGTACTAGAATTTGTACAAAACTTTTTTCTAATAGATTAAGTTCCATATTTTCCCATCAAATCTCATTTATATCTATATTTTTTCCATAGGTCGATCAACCATCATGCTCGACACCAAGAAAAAGACAAATTAACCCTCCGAGCATTGCCTCGATTGAGGAGCTTAGGACACCATCCTTTGACGAGCTGCTCAAGTCATTTTGGGACGCGAAATCATCAAAGCAGGCAAATGGACACATTTGCTTGAGAGACCCCAGAGTTCCTCTCATTGCCATCAACTGATGATGGACACATTTGATCTGAATCAAACTATTAGGAAATAAAAACTAAACAGTGTACAGAAAAAAAAGTAAGGCGTGTGGTTTGTTGTTTACTGCTATTCTAAATGATTTTTTTATTTATTTTTGTTATCCTTTTTGGAGATCGTGGTAATTTTTTTGAAACACAGAATTTCAATTCTTTGAAATTTTTTAGTACCTTGTGATGTTATGTTATATATATTGTTCGAGAATTATTTTCAACTTTTTGATAAATAATGAATTATTTTTTTAACGAGTACTTTTGTAGGTTCATTAATTAATAGGTAAATTTAAAACAAATTAAATAATAATAATAATAATAAGAGCTTGCAATAAATTAAATTAGAATAAAAATAATGTAAAAAATAAGTAAGATAGAACCTAATATAGTAGCATGAATTGAAATTAAATAAATTCTATATTTCTATTATTAAAATAAAATTAACATAAATTTGGAAATAAATAATAATAATAATGATAATAATAATAAATTTAAAAATAAAGAAAATGAAATTAATATTGTAGGTAAAATAACAAAAAAAAACTAGTTAAAATAACAAAAAAATTGTTAACGTAAACTAGTTAAAAATGAAATTGTAAATGTATAATAATAATAATATTAAATTAAAAAATGAAAAAAATTAAAGTAAACTAGTTAAAATAACAAAAAAAACAATATAATATAAAATAATAAAATATAAAAATGTTAGTGTAAAATAAAATAACTTATTATGAAATAATAAATTAAATTATATAAAATATTGAATTAACATAAGAAAATAAAAATATTATTTATAATTTTTAGTACAATTTACTCTTCAATACAATATGAATAAAAAATTAGAAATAAAATTATTATTTTTAGTAAATGATTTTAAATAGAAATAAATAATAATTAGTTTCAAAATTTTATTTAGTAAAATATATTTTAATTTTTTATCATTGTATTAAGTTACACAAATAAATTAATTTGATAACTAAGATATAATAAGATGAAATAAAATAAATTAATACAATAAATATTGTTATTTTACTATAATTTTTGTATAAATACATATAAGTTATTTTAATTATTTTAATTTTTGTTTAATTTATATAATTTAGTATATTATATTTTAATTTATTATAAGCTGTAACTGCATTTTAATATAATTTACATTATCTTTTAAATTTAATTTGATTGTACATGTGTAACGTCTATATATATTTATGGTTCTTGATTCTAACACACAAGTTGGACTAGTGGGTTGGTAGCATTGCTCTCTTTCCCCCCATGAGGTTTTGGGTTTGAACCCCATTGCCTACAAAACTTTTGTAGCCAATTTATCGCGATATTTTCGAAATGTCGTGATAAATTCAATTTATCATAAATATATATAAAAAATTCGAAGGGTATAACGAGGTTTTCAGCAAAAAATTAACACCGTTAACTGGACAAATAAAAAAAGGGAGCGTGTGCATCAGTTATTCAAATACAAGGGGGTATCATGCATTTTTTAAAACACAAGGTAGATACACGCCTATTTCGTATAACACAGGGGGGTTTGGCGCATTTTACCCGTTCAAAAAGTTCTCATTATAATTTTTTTTTTATCCGTAAAAGTAAAGCTGTAGATCAAAACTGGTGTTCGAACGACCGATAGACGGCCTACAAAAGCGTAGTGGAAAGCCACATGCACGGCTCCTCACTTGTAGGTCATAAGTCTAAGAGGACAACCACAAGTCGGTTGATCACTAAGTCACAAGCAAAACAGGAATTCTCCACGAGCCGCGGGAGGACCGCGGGTCGCGGAGGCTAAATCCTGCGGCCTACGAGGTGAACCGGGGGCGCGAGCTGCTCTCTCAAAAGACCCTTGCCAAGGGGATACCTATCATACTCCAAGGACTTTCTTCTCATATTCGGCAAGGACATTTGAATACAACGCAAAGATTGTACGATAAACATGGGTTTGGATCTTATGGATGACTAGACTCGGAGGTTGAGATTCACCTTAAAAAATCAACCTATTTCTCTTATTTCAATGAAGTACACGGTAGCCGCAAGCGCCACTTTCTTCAACTTTGTTTGCCAACTAGCCCCTCGAGCCTCATTCTTTGTCCATTTAAGAGCCCTTTGAGTGTCACTGGCCTATTATGGAGGCTAATCCACTCTTGAATCACTCCTCAAATTTCCAAGCTAAAGGGGGCACTCAAAAAATAGGTGACCTGCTGATTCAACAACACCACCACAAACAAGTCGGGTCTATATCATGGAACTCTAACCGGTTCTTTGTATGGAGACGATTGAGCACTCCCAACCAAATAATGAAGGAGTGCTTGGGGGTATTGCATGGGCCCCAAACTACCCTCACCCATGGCACCAATGCACCGTGAGACCTTAAAAAATCATAACAACTTCGCGACCCATCTTACTTACCTCGTAAACTCTAACGATGAAGTATGGCTTCCACGGCTTGCTCACTATCCGCCTTATCAACCAAGACACCTCGGATTTCAAAGAGAAATTTAAAAACGGGCGTGTGTATTTCCCATTATAATTTGGGAAAATGCTACGGTCCCGTTACGAAACCACTCTGTCGGGATTTTAAACCTTTAGATCATCATGTAATTGTCGATAATAGTTGATCTAACGGTTACAAACCACGACGAAAGGGTTCCGTAACGGAACCGTAGCATCTCCCTATAATTTGATTTCACTCATTTTATTAGCTCTGTAGAGTGGGCAAATTTGGTGACAAGAAGATTCTAGAGTTGAATGTGCACAAAAATACTTGTTTTTGTTTAAATTTTGTATGTTGACGCACAATAGAGGAAATCAAAGGATCATCACACAGCATGATTTAAAACAAGTACAATTATACACCAATCTATGTTTGACCTTGTATCCAATTTATTATTTATTTTAAGTTGTATCCACGTTTGTTTGGTGAAAATAAATTCATTAAAATTATATATATACATGATGATAACATGCAAACCCCAATAAGATTCTCACAACTACGTGCCTCCTACTAATAGGAACTTCATCTTTCTACTTATATACCATAAAATTTAAAATAAAATAATTATATTATATTATATTAATAAGAAAGAAAGAAAGAAAAAAAAATAAAAAAATTATTTTCCACTTGAAAGTAATACAATTTTTTTAGCCATTCTTTTGCTCTGAGTTTGTTTGCAATGAAACCAACAATACAACAATTTTTTTTAATATTCAAAATCGATGACTTAACTAAAACAAAAATAAAATAAAATTAAATAAAAAGAAGAAGAAAAATGAAATCTCTATAAGATCCATGAAAGCTTGTAAATTCCAAGCCAAGGACACAATTATTAGGTAAGAGAATTATTCCCCATAACTGATTTAACCAACTTCTCTTCATTCTTCCTCTCTCTTTCACCTTCCAAAGATCTCTCTTATACTGGTAAAAAATGAGAGAAAACCTCATTGACATGGGATCATCCAACATCGGCTCGGATCTTCCGAGGGACGAATCCGTAAAATGCATTCTCGAGCGTATAGAAGTCGACACCATGGCAAACGACTCGGACGGGAAAACAGGCCCACGCATTGGAAGGCTCGAATCGGGCGTGGACCGAGGCCTCAGAAGCCTCCGTTTTCTCGACCGAACCACAACCGGAAAAGAGGAGGACTCGTGGAGAGCCATAGAGAAGCGTTTTCATCAGCTTTCGGTTGAAGGCAGGCTGTTCAAGGACAAATTCGGAGTCTGCATTGGTAACTTTTTCTTCTTTCTTTCTTTTTCTTTTTTTTCTTTTGGGTCTTGAAAATGGATTTTTTCCTTTTAAGAGGGGAAGATATGAAAATTTGATTTTATTTTTATTTATTTTTTTTTTTCATGAAGGGTTGGGGGATAGTAAGGAGTTTGCAGAGGAGCTTTACGACGCGCTGGCGAGGCGGAGGAACGTGAGCACGGAAAACGGGATAACCGTGAACGATGTTCGGGAGTTTTGGGAGGATATGACAAATCAGGACCTAGACACAAGGCTTCATATTTTCTTTGACATGTAAGAACCTTAAAGAATGGTTTTGTTAAGTAATTTTGTCATTTTTATCAGTTTGATTTTTTTGTGAAGTTTAGTGTATGTAAAGATGATATGATTCAGTGGCTTTGTAGGTGTGACAAAAATGGTGATGGTAGGCTATCAGAGGATGAGGTTAAAGAGGTGAGAGTGAGCATTATTATAAGTATAGCTGTTTATGAATTCAGATTAAGAATACTCTGTTATTTCCTGTTTTTAAGGTTCTGGTAATGAGCGCCTCGGCGAACAAGCTCTCGAATTTCAAGCAGCAAGCCGCCACTTATGCTTCGTTAATCATGGAGGAGCTCGACCCGGACCACCAAGGATATATCGAGGTAAACGAAAATAATATAAAAAAAAGTATCACAATTTTGATTTCTTCGTCTATATATATCCACACTCGTTGTTCGGTTTTATCAGATGTGGCAACTAGAAGCTCTATTGAGAGGAATGGTCGGTTCCGAGCAAGGAAAAATGAAAGCTACCCGAAAAACCGAGACACTAGCGAAGACTATGATTCCCAAGGAATACCGAACGCCCGTCAGCAAATTCGTGTCCAAAAATACCGAGCGATTCTTCGAAAACTGGATGAAGATATGGGTCTTGTGCCTTTGGTCCTTCATAAACATATCCCTCTTCATCTGGAAATTCAATCAGTACAAAAAACGAGCCGCGTTTCGAGTCATGGGCTACTGCCTCTGCTCGGCAAAAGCCTCGGCCGAGACCGTCAAATTCAACATGGCACTCATTCTCCTGCCCGTCTGCAGAAGGACGCTGACGTGGCTCCGCGAGTCTTTTCTCGGGACTTTTATACCCTTCGACGAGAACATTAATTTCCACAAAATCATTTCTGCTGGGATTGTGTTGGGTACATTGATCCACGTCGTAATGCACTGCACCTGCAACTTCGTGAGGCTCGTTTCGTGTCCCGATAATCAGTTTTACTCGATTTTTGGGCCAGCGTTCGACTTTCATCGGCCGAGTTATTTAGATCTCGCAGGGACCACGGTTGGGGTCACGGGGATAGTGATGCTCGTTTTGATGGTTTTTTCGTTCACGCTTGCGACTCATTCGTTTCGGAGGAATGTGGTGAAGCTGAGGTGGCCATTTTGCCACCTGGCGGGATTTAACTCGTTCTGGTACGCTCACCATTTGCTGGCTCTTGTTTATGTGCTCTTGATCGTTCATGGTTACTTCATATTCATCACCCGAGAATGGTACAAGAAGACGGTAAATGCCGATTTTACCACCATTTTTTTTTTCTTTCGGTTGAAATTTGAAAATGTCGCTTATAATAAGAGAGAATTTGCAGACGTGGATGTACGTGGCAGTGCCGATGCTGGTCTATACGAGCGAGAGAATACTTACACTTTACGATCACAACTATAAAGTTGGGATCATCAAGGTTATTGTCTGTTTTTGTTCGTTTTTGTGGAGTTTAATGTAATGTAAAGTCTCGTCTGCATTTTGTTTGATCTTCGTCTGAAAATCGCAGGCTGTGATCTATACGGGTAATGTGCTAGCACTGTACATGAGTAGGCCTCCGGGATTCAAATACAAGAGTGGGATGTACCTTTTCGTCAAGTGCCCGGATATATCGAACTTCGAATGGTAATCCGAACAAAAAAAAATCTTGAAATTTGCTTCTCAACCTGAAAAAGGAAAAGCGAAAAATCGAATGAAGATTTTACTTTTACAGGCACCCGTTTTCAATCACGTCTGCACCGGACGATGACTACCTTAGCGTACACATACGAACACTCGGAGACTGGACAACTGAACTCAAGAACCGTTTTGCAACGGTTATTTACTTTTTATCTTGTTATATGATTATGATTCTGAGGAGAAAAAACAGGAAAAACAGAATAAAAAGATCATATGAATATCGTGCAGGCATGCGAACCTCGATCGATCAAACCGAGAAGAGGTAATCTAGTGAGAATGGAAACGAAGGCATATTCAGAAACTCAACAAGAGTAAGAAAGTTTCAAAAAACACTAGCTTTTTAGTGTTTGAATATGTTTTATCTTACCTTATCAGCCTATCATATATGATATCTCATTGTGTATATAATTAACCGAGCCAGCTTCCCGCGAATCGTGATAAAGGGTCCGTACGGAGCTCCGGCACAAAACTACAAGAAGTTCGATATCCTTCTGCTCATCGGTTTGGGTATTGGAGCCACCCCTTTTATTAGCATTATAAAGGATATAGTGAATAACGAGTCGAGATATGTAAGCGAAGAACTACGAATGAGACCATTTTTTTTTTCGCGGTTCGAAATCAAAATGTGGTCTTTTTAACAGATTGAAAACTTGTTCAGGTACTAACAGATGATGCCTCTGGAGGAGATAAGAAAGGTCCCGAGCGAGCGTATTTCTACTGGGTAACAAGAGAACAAGGATCGTTCGACTGGTTCAAAGGCGTTATGGACGACATAGCAGAATACGATCACAATGTAAGTTATATTTTTAACTTGCATTGAAAAATTCAGCAAGCTTTTTTTAACTTCCATTGGGACTTGCAGCATATAATAGAAATGCACAACTATTTGACGAGCATGTACGAGGAAGGAGATGCTCGGTCAGCGCTAATAACAATGGTTCAATCGTTACAACACGCTAAAAATGGAGTCGATGTCGTATCGGAAAGCAGGGTATGTATATAAATACACACACTTTTCGACTCGGAAAGCATTCATTTTATTTAATTTTTATTTTAAAAATACCGATCACTTGCAGATACGGACACATTTTGCTCGGCCAAATTGGAGGAAAGTATTCACTCACTTAACTAGCGTGCATCCTTCTACCCGAATAGGTATATATATCAACTTTTAGTTCTCTGATATCTTACTGCTAGAAAATCACAGCTGAAAAATCGAGTTCGTTTTGAGTGTATTTTTCAGGCGTATTCTACTGTGGGAGTCCTACGCTAACGAAGCCACTCAAGAAGCTCTGTCAGGAGTTCAGCTTGAATTCGTCTACACGATTTCAGTTTCACAAAGAGAACTTCTAAAGCTTGTTGCAATGCTTTTTGGTCGCTTATTATCAGCATCGGCTTTTGATTGTTCGATTTTTCGAACCTTCGACTAGCATAGAGAAATTAGGAAGGTAATGAATGAATCTGGAAAGTGACCGAAAGATTTTCGGAACTTCCTATATTTGTTAAAAGCTTCAAAGTTCGATTAACTGCTAGATCACAAGTAATTTTAACTGAAAAGCCACCAGTGTTGGATGAACTACTACTAAGTCACCTCAAAAAATGACAGTAAAAGAGGCTTAAATCAAGACAATTAGGGCTAAAGAGATAAAACATACTCAACAAGGGTGCTTTATAATGTACATGAACATCACAAGACTCCCAGAACAGAAACAAAACCATTACTTGCACGGTTTTTACAAGAAAAACAACCTGAACCGAACGAGTTCACTTCAAATTACATGAGGATTGAGATGCCTTGGAAACAACCAAACTATTCCGCAACCTTTTAAATATAACAAATAAAAAATGAAACGAACACTCGAAAGACTGCAATCAAAAGAATGTCGAAGGGCCTAACTTCATCAGGAACATATTGGGCCTAAATGTCGATCATAAAAAGCAGAATAAATCAGCTAGAGCGTTTGAATTCTGCCAGTGGGCCCCTTGACAAGAACTTTGCAAATTCAGTTCATAGGCAAATGTTGAGACCAAATTTATCTAGAGAGAAAGATATTTTTACAGCAGTACCTTTCAGAAAACATTCTTCTGCAAGTCGTCAAGGCCTGGATCAGCATCAGTTTCTTTCTCCTTGAAAAGGGGAGAATCGAGCGTAGGAGGGTTCTGAAGGATTATTAGAGAAATTAGTTATTAATCTATCTATACTTATATGAAAAGGAAACCTATTTACTAAATATAGTAGATAGAAAAGTCAACTTTAATTAATGAACTTCTAACTTTATCAAGTAGTAATTAATGCATTTATAATTTTAATCAAGTTTCCTATTTTACATATTGTTTCTAATTCTTCTTATCTTGACATAAAAAAATCCCATAAAATGGGGTGAGCAAAAACAATCAAAATTCTGTTTCTAAAAACTACAAATCAATATTACGATTTTGAATAATACACTAACAAATTATAATATACTTCTTATAAAAAACTATTAAAAAAACTTGGTTCGTATATTTGTATGGATATTTATATTTTTTTAATATTATCTTTATGTTAAAAAAACTATTCAACACTATTCTTTTTTATTATATAATAAAATAATAATTAAATATTATATGATGAACAAGAATAAATAAAACTGTTACTTTTTTCTTATATCAAGAGATAAATTTATATACTGAAATTAAAGTTTTATTAGTATAAATATTTTAGTGAGATAATATATTAATTATTTTACAAGCTAGCCCTAACATACTCATATTTAAGTTATGGCTAAAAACAATGCTGGTTAAAAGATATGAAAAAAAAAAACTTATAACCTTATTATTTTTTAGACTTAACGTTGATCAAAAGAGGTAGAAAATAGGTAATAACACTATTACTTTTAAGATTTAAACGGACAAGGCTGTTAAAATAACTCATTTAATATCTATGTTCCGTGCATCGCACGGGGTACGTACTAGTTATTAAGAAATCAAGGGCAGCATTGAGCGTAGGAGGGTTATGAAGGATTAGAGAAATTAGTCATTAATTACTTAGAAATTAAGGGCGTGCTTAGATACAAATATATCTGCTCAAAACGAGTTTTTTTGGTTAACCATGATTAATTTAAAAACTGTGGTATGGTTAGTTAGTGAGATTTTGAGTTTATATTAAAATAATATTTAAAATAAAATAAGTAAAGTTTATTTGATGTAAAAGTATGAGAGAGATGAGGTGAAGTGATGGTTAGTTAATTATGTGAGTAGATGAATAGCGAATTAGTTGATGATATGATGTGTAAGAATGATTGGTTGATATTATTTAATTATATTGATAATATTGAAGATAGTGAGGACGGGTTCGAGTTAGATTTTGACTATGAATTGAGTATAAATTGAATTATATTATATACAAACACACCCTAAGGCTTCATTTAGATTGTTGGAACGAAAAGTTGAGAATTTTAAATCTTTTAATGCAATACATTGAGGATTTCTGGGTGAATTCCTTTAACAAAGATTTCTGGAGGATTTTCAAAACATTCTTACTTTGAGGCCATTTGAAATCCTCATCCAATTCGAGGTCCTCCAACCAGAAAGAAATTAATGGGTTCAAAAAAGAAAGAGACCCAACAAAAGGAGTTATGAAAATATTACCATGCAACGAACGAGGGCCCAATTGATACCACGGAAGAATGGGTGCTGCTTAACTTCATTCGCTCCTTCTCGTGATCCAAGTCTGTTTTTGGGATCTCTATGTAGCAATCGATACATTAACTGCTTTGCTTGGAGGCTCACCTGTAGGACAGAGTTTTTTTATCGCAATTGTGTTAAATTGCAAACCAAACAATAAATGATAAGAATATGAATTGAGGATAAATGATGATTGCCGTAAGATTGTATGGGCCACCAACCTTTTGACACTATTTTGTAGAGTTCTAAGAAAATGTAATGATAAGTGTTGCCCTTGCACAAAAATATAAGCAAATAAATAAAGAATCTAAAATAGTTAGGGAAAGGCACCTCTTTGTTCCTTGGGAATTTTAAATCCTTGTGAAGAACATTGGCAAAGGTCTTCTGCCTTGTCTTTCCCCTGAATGGCGTATATCCATAAAGCATTTCATATAACAGAATCCCTGCAGAACAACAACAATTAGTTGGCCAATAAATAAAGAAGTGGCTTGAGATTCGATATGTACGAACAACTGTTGTTGTGTGTTCTAAGAGGTGTATAATCTTAAAAACTAGTATTCCCGAAAGAGTCTATGAGGACATTGACCCTCAATGTGCTTTCAGGAAAATGTTGTAGTCTCGATTTTAGAAACCAGAGTTCAATCTGAATAGATGTCCAAAAGTCAATGACAATAGTATTGTGGAGTTCTACAGCAAGGGATTAATTGATTACGACATAAATACCAAGTTACCTGGAAAAGATATATCACTTATTATACCTACTTGGGAACTATATTTTACACCTTCTTGTCCAACAAACTTGGGTATACGTGCATGTATCAAATATTGATATATTGACTGGGATATTAAGGTTCTGGCAAGTGATCTAGACAAGACGAGCATATATACTTGCAGCCAGACTAAGTGATTAGAATAAAAGTAAGTACTGCAAAGTGCAGTTTCATAATGGGAAAATTAATTTAAAGAGCACTTTATGTCTAATCTGGGAGAGCCCAAATTACCAAGAGCCCACCAGTCCACTGCACTAGTATGACCTGCCCCAGTAATGATTTCCTGTAACATCAACAGTTTAACATGTCAGAAGTGAAAAATATGCAGCAATGAGATTAAACACAAAAGAAAGGAACAAAGAAAGCATTCCAGCTCTCTTCTCTTTCCCTCTACTCTTAATTCAAAATCATGAAAGCTGTGTATCTGGAAATTTAAAATTCTTTTAGAAACATTTGAAAGCTAAAGCTAGGCAAAAAGCGATTGCGCTATACGAATAACTAACATAAAAATATCCACTTTGAGACCAAATATCTGGAACATCCAACCTTCCAAGTAAGAAAAACATAGTATAACATCAACGGCAAGCAAATGAAAAGATAAATAAGTCGAGAATAAGGAAATAAAAGAAAAGGATGAAAAAAAAAAAAACCAAATTGTTGCATTGGACAGTTGAAAAATATTTAGGTATTCATCAAGATAGCAAAATGTCAAGCAATCAAATTATACATTAAGTTAACTATACATAAGCAGTCGAAAAACAATGTCGGCTAGGATATATGTAAATGGAAAGAGAAACAAAATACTCTGGTCCAGAAGATACTAACCGGAGCTATGTATTCTTCTGTACCAACAAAAGAATTTGAAGCTCTCATTGGTTCTGCCATAAAGACTGGCGCCTGCTGACCTTTCTGACCTTTTTGGTTCCTTTTCTTTTCATTTATCTCCGGAATTAAAAGCTGCACAGTACCCATTATAAGTAATATGTTCAATGATCAAGAGTCATCTTCTAATACAAGGCAGATTGTGGTAAAGGATGAATTGGCACCTGCGGCTTGCAAGATGTCAAGCAAGACAAATCAAAGTCTGTCAAGGAGATATGCCCATCGTCTTGGAGAAGAACATTTTCTGGCTTTAAATCCCTGTAGATTATACCTGAAGAAGAAAAGAAATTAAAAATGCACAGAAAGTAGTAAAATGATTGAAATGGATGAGTATACTTTTCAATATTCAAAAGAAAACTACACAAAACTCTACCTTGACAATGAAGATACTCCAGAGCCACTATTACTTCAGCTGCATAGAATCTACGCAAAGGAAAGAGAGGGGGAAAAAAAGAGTGAGACCTGTATCAGTTCCAATATCTATGGGTAGTATCAGAAACATAATTGCATGGAACTTCTCTCCTTTACCTACACTACATAAGAACTAGTATTCAAACAAATAAGATATCATAAAGATGGAGACCAAGCAAGCTAGATGGTCAACCATCAATAGGTATAACTATCGAGTGCCTGCAAGACATTGAAACTAAAAATCACATATCATCTTGATGTGATCTATATAAGCTGACATTTGGGAAACCTTTCTTCACATAATTGTGATGGAGTATCAATAAAAGACATACTTGACAGCGTCTTCTTTCAGAACTTTTGTTCGCTGCTTATCTAGAAGAAGAAAGAGCTCTCCACCAGGGCAGTAATCAGTAATCAAACAGATGTGGGTCTTGGTCTGCATAATAATTCGAGGAAAACAATTACCCACAAGTTTCAGAAGTGGATATAAACAGTAGGTAAAATTATCCATACTCTTTTAGTTAGAATGAGATACTAGTAAAAAATATCCAGTCTAGAAATTATGCATGAACACTATTCACCGTGAAGTGGTTTACATAGAAGCAGTGGATATTCTACTTTCTGGAAAGGAATATTAATATTACCCCACAGAATTTTCCAACGTGCACGCAAGTTGAATATACTAAATCTTATTGTCTCACCTGAAATGAAGCGTACAATGCAGGAAGAAAAGGATGGTCCAACATGTCTAGGATTTCTCTTTCTGCACAAGCTCTGTGCACCTGCAATACACGAAGAAATAAATACAATGACAGAAAGTATATAAATGCCCAGTACAAAAATGAATGATGGCAAGATGTAAGATGTTCCATAGAGACCAGAATACAACCTAATAATCACAATTCAGTTTGTTCCAAATTTTTTAATGCTGTGTGAGTCTTCATGAGTGAATGTGACTGTTAGATGGCATATTATGAGTATATGATGATAAACTGCTATACATCAAGGAGCCCCTATTGCTCACGAGAACATATGGCAGGCAAAGCAAATGTGACATTAAGTGACTGAATGACAAGGTAGCTCAGGCAGATCCTTGATCATTTTGATGCTCAACCGTCAAATTATGAAACTTAGCCTTGTGCATACCTTGTTTCGATTGAGTATGATACCCTTGTCCATTGCTTTCATGGCAAACAATTGCCCAGTCCCACATAGTTCTACTAGATGCACACTGTGAGGATATCAATAAGGTTTACCCTAATTAATCAAGTTGATATGTTTACAACTGACGAAAAATTATTGAAAACTTCCTAGGAACTAGCCAGGGGCGAACTAAGCCCCTGCCTAGAGGGCTTAGGCAGGGCATTAGAAATTGAGATAACGTTATATTTCTTGCAGTATCCAATCATCAATCTATTTCATGTCACATACTCACATGTATTAATATATCAACAGTACTTCAACAAATTACTATGATTTAACAAATATTGCATTGATAAACGTGTTCCAGAACTAATATATGCCACCCAACAAGCAAAAGATAAACAGGCAAAAATTAGATAATGTATATAAAAATAGAAATAATGGAAAATTGAAGGGGAGGAAGAAGAAGAAAACAGGGTATAGCACGTAAATAAGAGATTCTTCAACCCATATATGGTGTGTTGGAAACTGTATCTGAAGAGTTAGCTACTAGTTGAAAGCTTTTTGAATGTAGTGCTATGGGATGTGGTGTTTTAAAATAGGAGCTTTGTTACAACTATAAGCTAATTTGTCAAGCACCTCTATAAGAAAAACAAGAGGTTTTTTTTTCCTAAGTAGAAGCTAGTTTAAAGTTTAATTAAATTATATAAAGTAAACACAAACCTCCCAGTATCACCAGATCCCAACGGTTTTATCGGCTTGAAATGTTTTAGGCCAATCTCTTCTCCACCATCTAGAATCTGAAAAACAATAAAAATTATGCAGGTACTCTATTATAAAATTGGAGTATGCTCATTCGAAACTTCAGGAATGAAAATTATAAGCATCAATTACAAATGCAATACACTAATAGCAAGATTATCCAATAGTATGATGAAAATATCACTTGATAGATGAATCAAGCAAAGTTGACATTCATATTGTTAAATGCATTAATAACTTTAAACTAGGTTTTCTTATAGATATTTCATTCAGTACTAGAGAAGTACCTCGCGGTACTATCATGAAAAATATGTAAGCATATGCATATGTATATGTATATGTATATGTATATGTACGAGCTCAGTCAAACGTTCTACTAAGATATAACCCATTTGTAAAGATGACCCTTTCTTCTCATCAAGATTCCAAGTGAAACATAAGTTACCTTTTGAATAGCATCCCAGGAAGGGCTGTTCCTTCTGTGGGGCTTTGGGTGCACAATTTTTGAATGGTTCTTCCACAAGTCCTCTGGTTTCTGCAGGTGGAACCAAATCATGAGTTCCTATTGACGTCAGGAATATTAAAAAGTATCTAGAAAGTACTGGGACTGTACCGTATTGGCATCAGGAAGCTCTCTCACGGCTACGTCAACATTTTCAGCAGTTGTTTTCACCTAAATGAACCAATGCCATTATGAGACTTAATACGGAACTTATATGGGAGGAGGGAGATGAAGAGAGGGAGAGAGAGAGATAGAGAGAGAGAGAGAGAGAGAGAGAGAGAGAGAGAAGAGAAGAGAAGAGAAGAAGAAAAAGAAAAGTGGCATTCTCAAAATTAAGCAAAAACAAATAAAACGTGCAAGATAGATAAATCAAAAGAACTAATTAACCAAAACAGAAGGCAACAAATAAATAGTAGCTCAAAGGTGCAAACCAGTTTTGCACTCTCTGCTGCTGTGGCCTCAGGGATGCAGTTATGAAGTGGCTCAACATGTTGACTTCCATCTAATTGCACCCCAATAAAATATTGCACTTCTCCCTATTTAAACAGATAGTAAATAAGCAATTAGGAATCCATCGTGTTACCACTTATAAACAAAATCAGATGCAACAAAACTAACCTGACCACGTTACACATACCTTTTGATCACGCATAGGCTGCAAATGGAACAAATTCCAAAACTTTTTGCCTGTGAAATCAATGTGAAGGAGCAGGATATATTAGAAAAACTGGCAGGATATCAGAAACAAATGCATAATCACATATCAAATACCTTTTAAATTATCAACGGTTAATTGTTCTTTCAAATAGCAAATTATATTATCATGCCCTCTAACAGAGAACTATGGTCGTCCATTTTCAATAGGAACTTATACGTTCATGAAACTAATTAGTCTGCGAAGCTTACCGCTTTTTGTGTAGTTGATGAGCTGGACAGTGACCTCCGTTTGAGTATCAATGGCATGTCGTATTTTCTTAACAGTAGCAGGATCGGTTTCAGGACCCTGAAGAAATCTGCAAAAAAAAATGCACAATCATAAAATATTTGACTTTCAGACTTCCTAGGAACCATAAGATTCCACCTTCTACGTCAATGTTCCATGCTCGGAAAACGTCCCATACAATGACTTCTCGAACAATTTTGAGGTCCATTCAAGCAATCTAAAAGCTTATTGCACAAATAAAACAATGAACACAAAACTATTTCCATCCTTACCTACAATTCCTTCCCAAGATCTCTTCTCGGCTGTACTCTGTCAACTCCAAGAAACTATCTGAAGCAAATATCTGCTCACATCAAAAGGACCAAAAATTGCCATCACAAAAAGACAACATCGAAAAACCTTCCTCGAAAAACCCTCAGTGCAACCATACTTTTTCATCAGATATTATACTTTCAATTTGAGATGTCAAACTCTAAAAATCAACATAAACAAAAGTACAGCATTTCACACCATAAGAATTCGTGAATCTTAATATACTAACAATAGGATTGTCCGGTAGCCTTGGATCAGTAATGACGAAATTCTTCTCAATACGCTCAAGAGTGGTGGCCAAATCAATACCCTTTCTCATTTCCTTTTTCCTCACTTTATCATCCACGCTGTCCGGCCTTCCGTAGTCGTCACCACTCTCCGACGAATAACCGCCGTTATCATTCTCTTCATCTTCAACATCATCATCGAAATTTCGCTCCTCCTGCTCCGCCTCTAGAGCCGTACTCCGTCGCCGCCCCTTCTTCAGAATCCTACGCATTAGCAGAAGAAATTCAAAAAATTGGGGGAAAAGCTAAATCATCATATAACTTTGAGTTTTCTGTTAAACTTCAAATTTTAAAAAAATAAAATAAAATAAAAGGCAACAAATAGCTTACGCCATGAAAGAGCGGCGAGCGGGTTTTCTCTGGGGCTTTGGAGGGATCTCGTCGATTTTGTGCATGGCGGCTCTTGTTCCGGCGTGTGAGTGGCGCCGCTGGGGAGGCGGGGGGTTCTTGGAGCTGCGCCGCGTTTGGCCGTCGAAGATTTCATAGTCTCCGGATTTTCTGAGGATGGGGCGGGGATTTGTGGACTCGCTGAGTGCCCGGCCGCGGCTCGGCTTCTTCACCGCCTCCACCAGCTCTGTCACTGTGTTTGAAGCTATTTCCTTTTGTCGTGCTAACAAAATAAAACCCAGCAAAAAATAACAATAATAATAAATAATAATAAATGTTAATAATTATAGTTATTTTATATAATTTGATAAAAAATAATACTAATTAACTATATTGTTAGTTCTTGAAAATCTACTATTATTGTTAATATGTATGGCCTGTATTTTAAATGAAAAAAAAAATATGGTTTTTGTTGCAAGGTAATTAAACTTGGTGAATAATTATATATACATGTAATGGGAGATTCTACAGTCTTGTTACGGAACCATTCCGTCGGGATTGGTAACCGTTAGATCATCATGTAACTGTCGTAGATAGCTGATTTAACGGTTACCAACTTCGAATAATAGTTCCATAATCGGATTGTGACATTTTCCATATGTATAAGTTAAAGTACTATTATATATCTATTATTACTTTTTTACTTTAAATTCCCACATATTTAATGTACTTGTTTTATTGAATATAATTACCATCGTAGCGGATCAAAGATTCGGGTAACCCGTTGGGTCGGGTCATTTTCTCTTTGATTCCCTCTGTGTGCTTGCTTACTTCCACTTGCATTCTACACCATAAGTTACCAAAATTAAATTATGAAATGAAATACTCAATCACCATGCAATCATTGAATTAAATAATGAAATATTCAATCACCATGCAAAAATAAAATTGCATATCTCATGCATTAATTACAACATGTTTCGAAGCTAATTTTTTTTTTTTTGGTACAGAGACCTTCCGGTTTCTGGATCCACATGGAAACCGACTAATCCGGAATCGAACCGGGTAGGACCACAAGATTTCGAAGCTAATTTTGGTTGGTACATTTTAATTCATCGACACATTTTTTTTTTT